TATGTTGCCCATTTTTCAAATTTACATTATGGGTACACTGGATGATGGAGGCACAAGACCGTAAACTGGCGTAAAAAAAAAAACTAGATACACTTATTCTAGTAACGTATCTTATTCAGAGTTGACTACAAAATATTTAGAAGCCTAAAAATTTACACAATCTTCAAATAAACAAATAACTGAAATTACGACAAAAGCTGTCAGTTTCGGCGTAGAGTGCGACATGACCTCTCTCTGGCAGTGGCCACGGTGGAATGAGAGCGGAGCTGGGTGTGGCCTGTTTGCAATTCGCGCGTACGCGTTAGAGAGGGACAGAGCGACCCGTCCGCAAAATGGCTGAAACCAAGCCATTGTTGAAAATCTAAAATTATTGATTTCTCAGCAATAAAAGGTTTAAATAAAAAAACAAACGTTGACGAACTAGATAAGTATAATGTGCTTATGCTTACGAAAAATCATTGATTAGCTCGGCACCGTTACGGCATAAAGTTAAAAAATCTGAAAAAATGGAGTCATCTTTGGAAAAAAAATCTATCGAGAAAATTTAATCGAATCGTGTTTTGCGAACGTTGAGAATCTAGCAAATATTATCAAAAATCATATATAAAATAACCACAGTCAGGTGTCGTCTCCAAGTGGAAGTATTTTGAATTGAAAAAACCCTTTTTGCATCACGGCACGGCCTTAATAAGAACAACGTAGGTCCTCAACTTACTTAGTGAAATACGAACTTGACCTAAAGATTACCCTAAACAACAAGGTTTCGGTTACGAAGGGTCAATTTGTTCCAAGTACCTCTCAAGCTATCAATTATTCTAAGGTCTCCGCCCTAGCAAAGCAATAGCCTCTAAACTTGGGTAATTTGTGTAGGAGCCCTTCGAACTTGGCTAAAATAGTTTCTATACCTACCAGCTGATGTACCGAGCCTGCTTTTTTACTTTAAAAAACAACTCAAAAAAGGGGTGAAGCAACTGTTGTTGGAAAATGAAACCTATCTAGATGAATTTGTCGCCCCCGAAAACCCCTACCAATGAAATTCCGTGAAAACCGTTAGAGCCGTTTCCGAGAACCCGATTCGAAATTCCCAGTTTAAAGGTATTAGAAGAAGTGTAAGGAGTGTGATGCCGGCTTAGAATAGCCCAATTCAACCCGTGGGTGTCGTAAAAACCGACTAAGGGATATTCATCCAGGGAATGGGCAGCAGCGTTCTCTGTAAATGCATCATCTTACACTGCGCTCGCCAATCTGCCTGCCAAGCGTGGTGAGTATGGCAATACCCCCCGATAGGGGGAGGCCCATGTCCAGCAGTGGACTGTTGTGGCTGTTATAGTATAGTTATAGTAAGGAGTGTGTGCTACCCACTGACTGGCCATAAGTCTGGTCACTTTGGGGATAGATACCTATTTGCTGCAATCGCCAACGCTTTCGTGCATTCTCAGATTTTTCTGTCTAAGCGGCGGAAGACGTGATTTGAAATGATTTAGTAAAAATAAATATTCATATTTTCAGATTCAGGATTGTGTGTAATATCATGGATTACTTTAGGTCACGGCATGGCTGTTGAGAATGGTTGCGTTTAGTAGCAATCAGCCACTGAATTCACCTATTTTTGATTATAACGTTGCATTGTATGAAATATTGTTATATTATATGTATGATACAATAGAAGCTATGAAATTCTGTATAAGTTTCTATCTAGTAGAACTGTTTTGACAAAAAAATAGTCAAGTTAAGAACCTAATTCAAGCATGATTCAAGCCACTTTTATTCGGAGGCACGTTCCTATCTACAACGAAAATCCACTTTCAGCAACTTAAGTTAGTCAAAGCTAGCTAATTGCGTAACAGCTGTAGCACACGGAACGTAGTAGACTAAGTAAATAGCTTCTAGTGTCATGCATAACGTGTAGGATACTGCGTTGACGAAAAACCTTATAAACCCTGATTTCAAAAATTTTAGATACTAGTAAGTTAGTAACAAAAAATATAAGCCTATGATTTGGCTGCGTAACGTCCAACGTTTAAGGACATAGGTATTCAAAATGTAACTAGGACCAACGGCTTTGCGTTTCCTCCGAACAACGAATCTTTCTTGCGGAAAGTTAGTGGTTCAACTCACAATCCTTTTACAAAACAGAGAACAATCTCTTAATACGAAAAACAATCAACATCAATTTCGTGTTGTGTCCAAAAGAATCTATCCTCCAGATCATGACATTAAACTCAATTCAAACTGCTTTAACATGAAGGAAGTTTGCATTGCATTGCAGTTATGCATTTCCTGAAGTCAGAAACATATTTTTGTCACTTGACTCTACGAGAATAGAACCACTTACTTCTGAATCCAAAGACCGAACTAACACCGCCAGACTACGGACGGAGGCAGTTGCATCGAGTAGGATAAGGGCATTAAGGATGCATTGTTTGTAGTAAAAAACATGTTGTTGTCCTACTGTGAGAAATTAATCAGGTACTTCCGAACCCTTACACACAATTTAAACCGTTCACTCCAGGAGACAGTTGCTTCTAGTATGAAATTAAGGTCCTATTTTCCGAAGTCAAGAGCATGTTTTTGTTTCTCTACGAGAACTGAACCCGGGACCTCGAGATCCTGCCACCAATCTCTAACGACTCGACCAGTTTGTATGCAGTATGATATAGGCATTAAGGGCCCATTGTCTGAAGTCAAGAGCATGTTTTTTATCGCTTATTCTTCGTCTGGAGTTTTTCATGTTTGCAAAGGGACACAAAAAGATTGTACTTCAAGCTAGTAAGTTCCTATGTACTATGAAAGTTGTGATGTAACTATCCTGTAAAGAAATACATCGAGTTGTTTCTTAATGATAATATTAAACCGACTTTAAAAGAAAGCAGTACTGGATGTTTTTCTGGTGCCTTTGTATGCCTTTTACGGTGTTATGAAATAGTTAAACGCGAGTTCAGGGTATACAGAGTTTAAAAAAACCATGTGTCTTTCTTGTTAAAACGCATATTCTATGAAGGGGTATGGTTATTAGAGATGCGCAAAATGTGTCATTCAGATGAAAAGAGAGATATATCTCAATTGTGTCCCCGGATATATATCACTTATTTATATCTCTCACTCATTTCACACAGTGAAGGAGCCCGAGCTTTTTGTTTCATATCGTCAACTGAATGATAAGCTTTTTTGCTAAGCGAGTTCACACAGCATGTTAAAGTCCATGCAAAAAAAATTATCGGATGTTTGTTAGTTTATTATCACTTGCGTTGTGTTGAATTTAGTTTGAATAGGTCGGGTTTCAAACAATAGGACAAATGATGCTGTTTACAGGGACTAAACAATCTTGATTTTTGACGAGTCAAGATAATGTTATTTAATGCATTTTAGTCCGGTAAATTGAGAATATTTTGTTTAGTAGGTACCAACTTTGTTTTTAAATTCTTACTGAGAACTCATAATTATTTTTTAATAAGTAATTTAAGGCAAAATTGCCGATTGTCTAAACAAAGTGAAGTATCAATATTTTCTATCCACTAATAGTTTCGGCGCTATACGGAAGGCACGCGACGACTACTGTTTTATTTAAATTGTGGAACATAGGCCTGGTGGAACTTACACAAACTTAAAAAAAAAAATACATTTTTGTCTTGCATCTCGAAATTATTCCACGGGACACTTCGTTTGCTTACAGCTGACATTGTTTTTAATTTACACGGGCGTGCACACTTATTTATTTGTTATCTAACGAATCACATTAACTAACTAAACTGAACTATACATTTTATTTTCAAAGTTATTTTTCAGTTTTCGCAAAAAGAAAAAGAAGAAGTTTTCAAGGTATTATTCACTTTTAAAAAGTTTACCAATGGTTTACCAACTCTTAAAACTTCTAAACTGTTTTGGCGTTAAAGTCAAAACACGTACTAACAAAAATGAAACCCTTTCTTTTTGCTAAAGAAATGCATCTGTTCTGTTACTCAAAGGAAAGACAATTTAAAAATTATTTCTTCTTAGATTCTATTGTGTAAGAATTTTTTGGAAATAAACAGAAATGTCGCCGACCGAACCCTTAGAACTTACTTACCCTTAGTTGAGTTTATTGTAATCTAGCACGTGAAAGCATTGTTAAAAAGGTCATTTTTGTTTACATTATCCTGCATTGACCTGCACATCTGTTCATCTCTCTTAAACAGACAGCTCGCTCTCCCTCACTCTAACTCATCTCTCAGTCGTTCTGTACATCAAAAATGAACCGTAGTCTAAGTGAGTTGAAGATATATTTGAAAATGAAGTGAGAGAGTGAGTGATAAAATAATTTGGACGGATATGTTTCTTTTTTATCTCTCTCTCATGAGTTACCCAAGTCTAATGGTTATGCTATCTGATTAAGTAACGGACAGGAGTATGATCGGTAAGCCAACTTGCTCGTTTCGCAAACCGGCGCGATTCGCCAACTCGCTTTGTGCCTACCTACATGCATAGACCTCCTCAGATGTATCCGTAATCACGTTTTTTTTCTACCGAGAGCCCTGTGAATGAGTTCTGAAAGTAAACTAGTTAAAAACAGTAGCTATGTTCAAAAATGTATGACGCAGGCATTAAAGAGCCATTGTCTCAAGTAGAGTCCTCTGTCTCGATGCAAGAGCATGTTTTTTATCGCTTATTCTTCGTCTGGGACGGATGGTGGGACAAACAGAATGTACTGTAGGGGCATATCACTTCCACCTTCGTAAAGAGGTGGCTTGGGGGTACTGCGTTTCTAAAGCCAATGAAATGTAACTTTTGAATCACTCGCGATTGTTTTCGTACATTTTAAGTATTGAACCGGGTCTATCGCGATAATATTTATTAGTCAACCCGCGACTACAACACATAAACTGCGTTCAAACGTCGGGACACAGGTAAATTATGAATATTTACCTAAATATTATCGCGATAGACCTGGTTCAATACGTAAAATGAGCAATGTTATGTCTTTATCAGACTGGGAACAATGTGATAAATATCAACTTTGTGGTTGACCCACCGGGAATTGAACCTGGAACCTTCTGCGCCGCAGAAAGTCGCACTACCACTATGCCACATCGACTCTCCATTACAAGGTAGGTTAGGTACCTACTCATGCATGCATGGAGGTAACTGCGGAACATTAACTGTAAAATTATAGTCCAAGTTGAGAGTCCATTTATATCCAGAACAATAAACATTAATTACTTTAAAACGTTTTGTTAGTTAACACGAAGAGCTAAGTAATAGCCGGCTAAAATGTACAGTTTAATCCGAAATGAAAGATAGTATAGTTAGTGTCCACTTTGGTTAATGAGAATGAGTAATTTAGAAAAAAAGTGTTTACAACCTGAAAAATAAAAATATCGTCAAAAGGTACAGCGTATATTTTAAAGCTTTTCGGCAGAAGCCTACATGACTGCGATTTTGAGTCGACTGCCATCCAAGACGGCTTCTGCCAACCCGTAGAAGGTCTTTGGTCCATCTTTGTAAATCGCTTCACTGTGGCCTCCCATCAAAATGAAAATCATGCTCGCTCAGGCCCTCCTACTTCCTCTGCTGGATTATGGTGATGTGGCATATCTTGACCTCAATGAGGATCTTCTGAATAAGATGGAACGCCTCCAGAACCAATGTATCCGATTTGTATTTGGGTTGCGCAAGTTCGACCACGTCACAGAGTGCAGGGAACGTTTGAAGTGGCTACCTATTCGCCGTCGCAGAGACCTGCACACCCTCTCTCTCCTCTATAATGTGCTTGCTAGTCCTGTCGCTCCTCAATACCTGCGGGAAAGGTTTTCGCTTAATGTGGCACAGCCTCGTCTACGATCATGTGGTGATCTGTCCCTCCAGATGACGGTATGCTCCTCAAAAACGTTTAAAAGGTCATTCACTATTCATGCTGCACGCTTGTGGAATGGAATTCCTGCAGATGTGAGAAAAAGCGCTAATGTGAAGACTTTTCAATCCAACGTCAGGAAGGTTTGGGGTTTTGATCGTGGTGACATGGACAATATATAGGGTTTATATTATTTTATCTATGATATTTATTTATTTATTTTTGTGTATGTATATTAATTTAAAAATGTATTTGTGTATAATTATCAAGTAGGCTGTATTTATTTATTTATTATATAGATAATACTGCATTATATATAAATTATTAAATTTTAGCATAGAGAAAATTACGTATCCTCTCCATTAAAGTACCTTGGTTTACCTGCGTATCACGTGTCCTCTAAGTCTTTCAAAGGTTGGCTGGAAGAGATCTCTTAATGGGATAAGCCCGCCTTTGTGCCTGTATTTTTCTTATTTTTGTAATGTGTTTTTAAATGTTTTTGGTACAATAAAGTGATTACATACATACATACATACCTACTATGCTTTACCTAGCTTTGCCGCTACTTCAGGACTTTCCGGCCGCAACATTATTTTTCTATCTCTCCTCTCTCGTCGTGTGGGACACCGAGTCGTTCCGACCGATGAACTCTGGTGTCAGAGTTTTTCAACCGCCTACTACAAGTAGCAAGCCTCTGACATGGTTCTGTAACGACCGCCATCATAGACAGCAACTGGGACCGACGGCTTAACGAGCCCATCTGAAGCACGGAACCATCTTTCTTTTCGGACAATCAGGTGCTTCAGCCTGCAATGTCCTAACTAGACTGGGAACAAATTCACAAAGTGATAAATATCAACTTTGTGAGTGACCCCACCGGGAATTGAACCCGGAACCTTCTGCGGGGCAGGCAGTCATACTAACTACTGCGCCACATCGGCTGTCGTTTTTGCTTGCTGATCTTGGCAAATTATTTTACTTCCAGCATTTTTCATAGGAAGCAGCTACCAACTCATTTTGGAGCACTGAAAACTTATCCTTCTAGATCCGCAGTAGCGAAACATGAAAGAAACTTTAATACTATGTAAAAATCTTGTGGAATTGCGAATAATGTAAAATTCCTCCAAGATTTCCTCACAACCAACCTCAAACAAGGTAAGGTAGTAATCTCACCGGAAATCCTCTACTACGTAAGCGGATATGAAAATTAAATTTCAAGCACACACTCGGTCTAGTTTTCCGCTAGGGATGTAAAAAGAGTCTTAATGAATAATAGGTATCGATGATTTTTCGAAAATAATCGATATTCTTGGTAAAGCATTCGTTATAGGTAAGTATGCAATTCATAACAATTAATCAACTATTAAAACAATGTTATTTGCGCCATGTCTCTTTCTCTGAAACTAATATTTCGGGTCTTGCTTTAGCATTAATCCAAAAACCCACTATACTAAGTCCCTCCTATTTGGTGCTGATAAAAATATAATAATATACTGGATTTGATCAGCGACCTTCGCCATCTGTACTGGTGACGCGTCTGGTACAGTATAGATGGCAAAATCAAGTCTGAGCTGGAAAATTTTGCAAGTTTCCAAAAATTGGGTACCTTATTACGCAAAGTGTTCTAAATTCGGGTATTCAATATACCTACTTTATCACGTGAATTTTTGTAAATCTACAAGCAATGTTTTGTAAAGAACATTGTCCATTTTTTCATAACATCGATCTTTCGTAACTAAAGGTACATCCCTAGTTCCAGCTGCATTTTTTATATAAAAAAACTTCTTCGGGGTTTTAAATTTCAATTTAAAAGGATCGCGAGCGACCGCGGACGGAGTTAGAGTAAGGCTAATTCTTCTGAGTGGTTACGTGACCGACTTAGCATTGAAGTCATCGGAATCCTCAATATGGGACGTCTCAGTAGAGACAAAAGAAGTGTTAGAGTGACATCAAAATGTAGTTCCCACCGCCATCTATCAGTTAACTTATGTACTATAAATATGGTGCGTTGGTACAATAAAATAAAAATCAGTCGTTATTAAGTATACCATCAAACTTGCATTTTCTGTATAAAAAGTAGGTAATAGGAATTTCTAAAGGGCAAGCTCCACAGAATAGACGCGCGACGCGACGGGCAACATGATATCTGTCAGACAAGCGATCATCAGCCGTTATCGATGCGACGCGCGTCTCGTGTTTGTTTCTTCAGCTTCATACACTTTATGTGGAAACGGTTTCAAGCGACGTGATGTCGCACGTCTCATGTTTTTGACGATCACTTGTTTGACATACCTACCTATTTATGCCATCTTTCTACTCTGTGGAGCAGGTTCTTCATTTTGAAAAAAGCCACAGTGTAGGACAGAGGACAGTGTGTAAGTAAGGGGCAACCCAATACAGACAGGGTGCATTCAGTCCATGAAACTGATTAATTTTCCCTTAGAAATATATTTCAGGGAACATCATTACGGGTGTTTCTCCTCATTCTAACATTGGAAAAATAGTTCATGGTCTGCATTCACCCAGGCATTTTGTATGAAATGTGCCATAGGTATTTAATTGCTTTCAATGAACAGGGAAACTGAGCAAAACGTGCCTACTATTTTCTCAACACACTGTCTACCAACATACATACCTTGGCATGAAATAGTCTCCCAACTTTGAAAACCCGTCTGAATCTTACACAGCCAGCCGAAGTGCATGAGTGGCCAATAAATAACAAATCAGTCACAAGCATAATGGCTGCGCAGCGCCAAGAAGTTAAAGTTGGCGAGAGTTCAAGCTAGGCTCCTGGACACGGGCTGAGAGGAGGTAAGTTATATTGTCTGCCTCTATGTGTAGATTTTACCTACCTACATAGACAGCCGATCTGGCGCAGTGGTTAGTACGCCTGCCTGCCACGTAGAAGGTTCCGGGTTCAACTCCCGGTGGGGTCACTGACAAAGTTGATATTTATCACTTTGTGAATTTGATCCCAGTCAGGCTAAAACACCTGATTTTCCGAAAAGCAAGAGGGTTCCGTGCTTCGGATGGGCACGTTAAGACGTCGGTACCGGTTGCTGTCTAGGTATGTGGCGGTCGTTACACAACCATGTCAGAGGCCTGCTACTTGCAGTAGGCGGTAGAAAAAACTGTGACAACAGGGTCTACCGGGTTGTTAAATGAATCGGTGTCCCTCACGAAGAGAGAGACCTACATAAAGGTAGGATAAGCCATTACGTACTGCTTAAAAGGTACTCACTTTTAGAAGAATACCTACGACGTCTTTGAGCTCTGAGAAAGGTCGCACGTAGATCGACAAGTCGCAAGTAGACTGATATTGTATGAGTCGTGGTGTCATGGCAACGGCAGAGAGGTGGAAGCAAGGTTGATTTTGAAAAGATCAAAAATGTTCGTCTTTTCTGCCAATAACAAATTCACTCGTAGCAGGTACCTCAGTATTACTATGTACCAAGATTTTTGTGCGATTTGAATCAAAAAGCATATTTCACAACGCAAACCCCCATAACATTTCATCCTCACATTTCTCTCGCAAAAACATTTAACCTTTCAAATATTTAATATCTAACGTGCAAGCTGTCGATTACATACACTGAGGCACCATTGCGCACATTCGGAGATGAAATATTCAGCAAAATACATCGGCCGTCCCAGTATATACCGGTTGGGACCGGATGAAACTCGAAATTGTTTCACTGGACGCTCGAAAAAAAAAAACCCTGAACTTACACTGAAAAAATAAAACTTACCTTTGCCGGAGAGGATAACCTGTGATTGAAATTGTGAGGGTATTGGATTTTTATTGAGATACTGTGTGGGCATGAGCTTTATTGAAAAAGTGTTTGGCAAAGGCGATTTTTATATGGTTAGGTAATAGAATACCAAATTTTAAAATACAGACCGTGTTATGTTTATTGGAAAACTTGCAAAATTGAGATACAGGCGCCATCTATACCCACCTATACCATGCGGGTAGGAAGGGTGTAAACGGCTGAAAAAATGGCCATTTACACCACTCCTGACAAAAGTTTGAGTGTCATTCAGAAGACACCATGCATATCACCAGTTGTCAGCCTGTCGCCTAAAATTTAAGGACAAACCAACTCTCAATTCCCTTAGTCGCTTTTTACTACACCCACGGGAAAGACATTATGGGGTGATGCTAAAGTCAGCACCACACAGCACTAGAAAACTAGTTTATTCATAAAAACATTCCGCATGATGAAATTGCATCCAATATT